CCCCCCCCCCCCCCCGAGTGACGAACGCTTGCGCTCTATTCGCCTCCTCACTTCTTATCTTATCTACAAACAAGTGAGACTCAACGCTACTTAGAGCGTTCTTGTTGAAAAATAACAACATACGCACACCAGTTTTCTAGGGAAATATTTGGGGTGTGTATGGGCAAAAATAATTGGATCATCACTAGTCTGGTTTAATTTCAGGTTCAAGAAAGGGGAAAAGGCCTTTGTCTTCAAGTAGCACTCCAGCATCAAAAGTCCCAAAATATTTGGGAGAAGAAGGTAAAGTTTGTTTTTGCATGATAAGGCTTATAACCGTCTCAGTACTGAAAGCAGCATAGGAAGTAGAAAGATCTGCGTGGACGAACTTGCGTTATTAAAATTTTTTGTACCCCCTGCCACACCCCTTCCCCCCCTGCTTTAGAGATGGATACTCAAGATCCTGGAGTCACTCTCATCCGTTCAATAGCAAAACTTAAATTTCTCAAGTTTGAAGCACGCTCTCTCTATTTTGAGCGTGCTTCATATTTCGCGAAGTTGAACCTGGTGAGTACAGAATTTTTTGTTGGCATTTTGGCACACTTCCTCTTTAGCTCTCTTTGTCAAACTGTAGTCAAGTCCTGTTCTTGTCAATTCCTTGTGAGATGGTTTATGGTAAAGGGATTTATTTGTGCGAAGGTAGTGTGGCAAAACGTAATGATGCTTTTGTGGGTTGATTGTTTGTTTTCAACTGATTTTACGTGGTGAGAAACCCATAAGGGGTTGAAACGTGTAACTCGCGTTCATTGCTCGTGAATATTCACTTTTAGTATGTACTAAAACAGTGGACAGTGTTTTTCGGGCGCTCTGATTGGCTACTCAATCAGTGAATAATCTGCGCTATTCAGGTAAAGCTTTGTCTTTTTGACTTGAATAGTTATCGATAAAACCGGTGAAAAAGGTTTTTTGTTTACAAATGCAAATTAAGCTTAAGTCTTGCGTTACTTTTTTACTTTACTTGTTCATAAATAAGCTTAAAACTAAATTTAATAATCTTTTTTACAGAATTATTTTAAATACAAACAGATTTCACAACTCCTTTTGAAGAAACTTCCCCGCAAGAGCTAAACAAACGCCTTCAAAAGTTTTATTTGTCGCTAAGAAAAAGCGACGACCGCAGCCGTTCGGTCATCGTGCGCCAAAATTGTAATCGTTGGCAACAGTAAATGAGTTAAAAATCATCCTTTTGTGCTCAATTATCTCACTGTTTTAGTATATACTAAAACAATTATTCACCTCAGTGTCGGTGGCTAGTAGTGGATATATACGTCGCCGCTTCGCGGCCTCGGTAAATACCCAATACTAGCCACCTCCACTTCGGTGAATAATTGTTATTTACCATATTTGGAAACCTTAGTAGAGGATAGCCATTATTCAACAAAAGGGCTGCCGTGCGATAACCATGCAGTGGTTTTAAGACCAGAGTTCTGCATCTCAAGGTCAAAAATACACCGTTAAAAGCCGAAAAATGGAAATTGAAAGTTCAAAAGAATGTTCAGTTTTCTTTTTGTAGAGAAAGGGGAGCTTTTTCTCAAGAAATCGTCCTTCGAGGAATTCAACCTTGTTTTCTTCACGGCGAAGCACATGGTCTGTTTTGAAATGCAACCAAGGCCAGCGAAGTTTTTGCTGAATTTTCAGGTACTTTTTGCACTCTATGGCCAAGAAAATACGTTTTTGAAAGAGAATTTATCAAGAGAGGATCAAGGGGACAGAGAAGGCATCCCCCATACACACCTTATTCCACAGGTAATTCGTCTCGAGTTATTTGTAAGACACACAGATCCCAAGGGGGATTAGACAACAGCAAATCACATAGCGCGAATGTGTTCCGCGTCGATGACCCACGCTCAGAGCCACGCTTCCTTCGAATTGACGCAGAAAAAAATGGCGGAAGACTCGGAGAGCGATATTGCTTTTCGTTTTGTCGACGAAAACGACTAAAGAGAGATTTCTGCTAAAGCGGTGTCAGCGAAATGGAAATTAAAAAAGAATCGCCCTTCCTCTCTTGTATAGAGCTAACAGTACAGCAAGGAAATCCTTAACACGCTGAATGTTCTCTCAGAATCATTTATAATTTACAGTTTGAAGAGAGCAATTTCTGGTTTGATGTTTATTCTTAATTTTATTAGTCTTTTATTATTCAACAAAAATAACACTTGGCGTCCTACTTGCTTTATTGTACAAACGACCGGTTTCAATAGACCGGCGAAATTTGTCATTTTATTAAAGCACTGAGGTTACGACAACTTCGAGTTAAACTGATTTCACGGGTTGTCAAAGAGTCCAGCGATACCCTTTTTCCAGGTGAGCGCCCACTCATTGTGTTTTAATATTCAGAAATGCTCTCGATCTCTTTACGCTTTCATTGCCTTTTGCCCGACATGTTTTGCACGGCGTTTAGTCATGCGAAACCTCCACGAAACATCCACGCAGCGCGCGAGGTATCTTTATCCCGATTCTAAAAATAACTCGAGGCGAATTACCTATGGAATAGGGTGTGTGTGGGGGATGCCTTCTCTGTCCCCTTTATCCTCTCTTGGAATTTATGTATTTTTCAATGTTTCATAGACGTCTTATATTTTTTTCTCTTCGGCGCTAAAGAAAAATTACAAAATGCGCCCCGATTTTAGATGGATTTTGTGTTGAATTTTGCCATGTGCTCAGCCGAATTGCGTGAACGGATCCACGATCCAGATAGTGTTATGCGAATCTTTTATAGGACCTTACCTTTTTGGATTTTGAATAAAAAGCTTCTCTGTGTATTGTTTTGAGTTTGTTGATTCATAAAATTAGCTTAAAACCCTATCGTGATACTACAGCATCCACGAGCTGAATTTAATCTTTAAAATGCTTCTCGCATTCATTACACGCATCACTTTGCGAAGGTGCCAGTTTCAGTTTTTAGCAACACTTTTCGATATGCAGCTAATGAATTTTATTCGAAATTATGTTTAACTGTTTATTCTAGACTTTTAATATGAGAATTTTAAAAGCCTATTTGCAGTATAAGTTTACTTCGTAGAGGGTCACCGAGGTATCGGTTTTTGAAGTGACAACTTCAAGAAGTCATACCTTCGTCAATGGTTTTCATTATGTTACATTTGGCCCGGGAGGTAAGCCAATTTCCTGCTCAGTATTTCGGTAAGATTCCTGGTTAATTTCAACATTTGAAAGCTTACTCGACTTTGGGGAGTTTTTCTCCCGTTTGTCGGCTATTTTTTTAAGCGGGCGCGGGAACGTGAAATAAAATGACGTCACGTCTTTTACGAAGTTTGATTGGTCAGTTATCTCTTCTTCTCGTTCCAAATATGGTACTTTCGAAAATGAATAATCACGAGCATCGGACAAAGCAAACATATGAGAGTTACACGTTTCAACCCCTCATGGGTTTCTGACGTGGTAAATAGGCCTCAGGAATTCAGAAGCTGAAGTATATTAACTCTTTCACCCCTAGACCGAGTTATGGCGAGATAATTTGTCATTCTAAGTTTTACATCTGTGAAAGAAACCCTATGGTGTTACCATTTAAATGAATCCTCTTGGGTAGAACTTTTACTCAGTGCTTTATTTTTTGAGATTTTACTAAAAAAGAAATCTGGAATCTTTGTGAGTTTTCCCTTTTCCACTGTTAGGAGCGAAATGCGGTTAACTCTGTCGATCCTCTATTATGTAAATGTAGGAGTGGCTGAAAATTGATTCCTCAAAAAATAATGCAGTTACACTAGTTTCTCAATGGTGCCGCGTGCGGGAGTGAAATAGACAAAAATTAGTTTTATCAACTGGGTTGCCACAGGAGTAGTGGAGGAGGGATGTTTTACGCCGGTTCTTTGTGGATTTAATTAACTTTTTGAGTGGTATAAATTAACGCAGATGACGTCATGCATCTCATTAAGATAGGGTGATGTCATAGTTTATTTTTAGCTGGCAAGGAGCAAGTGACGCCAGAATACATATTTTTAGATGGATTATGTCATAGTTCATTTTCAGTAGGCAAGGAGCAAGTGACATCAGAATTTCCTAGAGTTGACGTCATCAAAAAATGTTGAGATCATAATCTATAAACAGAAAAGTGATTTTTATATAATTAGCTATTTGCTACAGTCTTCTGATTAGATATTGTTTGCTATAGTCTTCTGATTGGATATTGTAGAAACTGTTATGTGTTCAAAATAAAAGCGGCCAAATTTTGAACGTGTTTAATATCTTTGCAGATTATACTAAATGAAAAATCTTTAATCATTAAATTATTTTCACTAAAAATCGGTTATAAACAAAACCAATACACGAGATACAGTTTTAAAAACTTTATTGAAAACCAGAGACAAAAAGAGTCAAATAAACAGAGATTTGGAAGCGATGGAAATTAATCATCTTCTTCGCCCATGGAGTACTTGTAAGACCTAACTCGAAATTTCTTATGCCGAGTTCGTTTCCTCTGTTTGCCATGAGCATTATGATCATCAAAATAATTTACAAATTGAATCTGACGCCTTTTGCGCTTCGGGCCTTGTGATGGGGTTTCTACTGTGGGAGGCGGGGTCAGGAAAGCAGGTGAGGTGGAGCTTTCGTTTTCAGGTTTTTGTAAGATAGCCGCTTGTGTTAATTTAGGTGTTACGTTGAAGGGGTTAATGGGAGTGGAGAATACTGCCGTTGCTGTCGAAGAATCTTGTGTGCTTGATGTTAAGTCTGGAACAGTGCTTTCTTCCGGTCGGGTTCTTGTATTTAATTGTTCTTTAAAAGCTAGGTATCTGTTTTGCAACTGAGAGTATCTCTTAGCTTTTTCATCATCCCGAAGATCGTTTCGAGAAAGCAAGTCATCCATGTTGCCCTGTTTTTCTTGCATAGCTGGAAGAAGTGGGACAGGTGACAGATTTTGCTGCTTTGGATATTTTAAAAGCTCTTGAGGAATATTTTCTTGAAACCCTGCTTGGTTAAAACCTTCTTCACTGGGCAGGACGTTTGTTCGCAGTCGACAATTATCTTGGGTGGTAGTTTTCAGATCAATCAGCAGATAACCAAAAGGTCTTTTTACAGCCTCCTCGTACTGATTTAAAAAGAAATCAGTTTGCCCGGGATACATTTGGTTGGCAAGAGTCAAGATTTGCAATTTGTCTCGTGGGTTCTTGAATAACACCAAATAATGGCTGTTAAGGCTTATGCTGCGACTACCTTTCCCCTGGTGAAATAGATTCTGCACGATATAAATCACGCTTAGATTGCGATGATGAGAACCACGAGTAAAGAGGTTCACAATTCGCTTGTCTTTACTGGCGTCAATCATAACTTGCTTTATTGTACAAACGACCGGTTTCAATAGACCGGCGAAATTTGTCATTTTATTAAAGCACTGAGGTTACGACAACTTCGAGTTAAACTGATTTCACGGGTTGTCAAAGAGTCCAGCGATACCCTTTTTCCAGGTGAGCGCCCACTCATTGTGTTTTAATATTCAGAAATGCTCTCGATCTCTTTACGCTTTCATTGCCTTTTGCCCGACATGTTTTGCACGGCGTTTAGTCATGCGAAACCTCCACGAAACATCCACGCAGCGCGCGAGGTATCTTTATCCCGATTCTAAAAATAACTCGAGGCGAATTACCTATGGAATAGGGTGTGTGTGGGGGATGCCTTCTCTGTCCCCTTTATCCTCTCTTGGAATTTATGTATTTTTCAATGTTTCATAGACGTCTTATATTTTTTTCTCTTCGGCGCTAAAGAAAAATTACAAAATGCGCCCCGATTTTAGATGGATTTTGTGTTGAATTTTGCCATGTGCTCAGCCGAATTGCGTGAACGGATCCACGATCCAGATAGTGTTATGCGAATCTTTTATAGGACCTTACCTTTTTGGATTTTGAATAAAAAGCTTCTCTGTGTATTGTTTTGAGTTTGTTGATTCATAAAATTAGCTTAAAACCCTATCGTGATACTACAGCATCCACGAGCTGAATTTAATCTTTAAAATGCTTCTCGCATTCATTACACGCATCACTTTGCGAAGGTGCCAGTTTCAGTTTTTAGCAACACTTTTCGATATGCAGCTAATGAATTTTATTCGAAATTATGTTTAACTGTTTATTCTAGACTTTTAATATGAGAATTTTAAAAGCCTATTTGCAGTATAAGTTTACTTCGTAGAGGGTCACCGAGGTATCGGTTTTTGAAGTGACAACTTCAAGAAGTCATACCTTCGTCAATGGTTTTCATTATGTTACATTTGGCCCGGGAGGTAAGCCAATTTCCTGCTCAGTATTTCGGTAAGATTCCTGGTTAATTTCAACATTTGAAAGCTTACTCGACTTTGGGGAGTTTTTCTCCCGTTTGTCGGCTATTTTTTTAAGCGGGCGCGGGAACGTGAAATAAAATGACGTCACGTCTTTTACGAAGTTTGATTGGTCAGTTATCTCTTCTTCTCGTTCCAAATATGGTACTTTCGAAAATGAATAATCACGAGCATCGGACAAAGCAAACATATGAGAGTTACACGTTTCAACCCCTCATGGGTTTCTGACGTGGTAAATAGGCCTCAGGAATTCAGAAGCTGAAGTATATTAACTCTTTCACCCCTAGACCGAGTTATGGCGAGATAATTTGTCATTCTAAGTTTTACATCTGTGAAAGAAACCCTATGGTGTTACCATTTAAATGAATCCTCTTGGGTAGAACTTTTACTCAGTGCTTTATTTTTTGAGATTTTACTAAAAAAGAAATCTGGAATCTTTGTGAGTTTTCCCTTTTCCACTGTTAGGAGCGAAATGCGGTTAACTCTGTCGATCCTCTATTATGTAAATGTAGGAGTGGCTGAAAATTGATTCCTCAAAAAATAATGCAGTTACACTAGTTTCTCAATGGTGCCGCGTGCGGGAGTGAAATAGACAAAAATTAGTTTTATCAACTGGGTTGCCACAGGAGTAGTGGAGGAGGGATGTTTTACGCCGGTTCTTTGTGGATTTAATTAACTTTTTGAGTGGTATAAATTAACGCAGATGACGTCATGCATCTCATTAAGATAGGGTGATGTCATAGTTTATTTTTAGCTGGCAAGGAGCAAGTGACGCCAGAATACATATTTTTAGATGGATTATGTCATAGTTCATTTTCAGTAGGCAAGGAGCAAGTGACATCAGAATTTCCTAGAGTTGACGTCATCAAAAAATGTTGAGATCATAATCTATAAACAGAAAAGTGATTTTTATATAATTAGCTATTTGCTACAGTCTTCTGATTAGATATTGTTTGCTATAGTCTTCTGATTGGATATTGTAGAAACTGTTATGTGTTCAAAATAAAAGCGGCCAAATTTTGAACGTGTTTAATATCTTTGCAGATTATACTAAATGAAAAATCTTTAATCATTAAATTATTTTCACTAAAAATCGGTTATAAACAAAACCAA